GCGGGTCTGGCCTAGGGAGAATTTTAAATAGGGACAATTTTAATTAGAATTTTAAGGGTAACACAGCGGTAAATATTTGTTTTTAATTGGTTTTTATTGGGGATAGTGTTTGTATCGTTTTAATATGCTGTAAGCCGCCCTGAGTCCTGTTGGGAGAAGGGCGGCATATAAGTTTAATAAAATAAATAAATAAATAAATAAATAAAATAAATAAAATAAACTCTGGGCAATTTACAGATTATAAGACTAATAGAAATATAATTAAAATACATTAAAACTGTACAGATTAAAAAATTTAAACTATATAAAAAAAAAGAACTAAGAGACGGGTGGCATAGGATGAGGTCTTCTTATCCCACCAACTACCTCCAGTGGTGAGCGCCCCCCTTGGGGCCCCAAGCCAACTGGCAATCTAAGTTTTAATACCCTTCCGGGGGCCACAGCAGAAAAGGCTCTTCTCCTTGATCCTGCCTGCCAGAATTCTTAGCACAGGGGTCCCCAACCCCCGGTCCGTGGACCAATACTGAGCCGCGGCATGCCAGCAACCGGTCCACACAAACAAGCAAAGCCCCATCCGTGGGATGCAGGCAGTACATAAAACCACGCCCCTCCGGTCCGCGAAAAACCTCTCTCCATGTAACCAGTCCCTGGTGCCCAAAAGGGTGGGGACCTCTGCCTTAGCAGATGGGATCTGTAGCAGCTCTCTTCCGCTGGCGCATGTGGGGTGGGATTGTTCCATTGGGGAGAGACGGCTCCTCAGATACCCTGGGCCCATGCCATATAGGACTAATCTAAAAAAGTAATTCTGAACCTGATTTCTCTGAACATCTGTCTCTCACTGGATTTGCCTTGAATGAATCAGTAAGTTGAAATGAAATGAAACAGGCTGTATCTCAGAATTCTTTTATGTCTCTGCTAACGTTATCTTTGCCTTTCTCCTGAACATGTAATTTGGTGAAGAGGACCTGCCCACAGGCTGACGAAAAATAATTCCTTAGTTTGGTGTTATCCTAAATACGTTGGACCTCAGCTCCCAGAGGTCCTTCTAAACATATGGACCCCTCTATGCTTGGGAGGGTGGGGTGAAGTGGAGGGTGGGGTTCAAAGTATTGTTTTCAGCTCTTCCTTTTCTTCTACAGATCTCCAGGACAAATTGAGTAAAAAGGACAAAGAGGTATCATCGCTTGTCTCCCAGACGGATACTCTAAGGGCCCAAGTAAGTGGTAAGTCTCATTGGGCTGGTGTTGGTCAATATGGAACTCTTTTGGTGGAACCACAACATTTTTGCGAATCTGCATCTGAAAGATTATGCAGTGTCAAAATTGCATTCCCTCAGAATAGAGATGATCTGATAAGAAAGAACACTAATAAAGAATTTTCCTTACATGTAGAAAACAAGCAAATGGGTTGGAAAGGAAGGGTAGACTAGGCTAAAATGTCAGTTCCATAGGTTCAACAATTTTTATGTTTTGGGACAGAGGAGGGAATTTGTAATGAGTGGCCCTTTTAATTGGTAGAGCTGAAAAATTCACCACCCCCACCCCCACTTAAGATGACTGTTTGTGGCCAAATTTAGGTGATCCTGTGCCTCTATTGTTAGAGACACAATCTGTTTTGCACCAATTCTTGACAACTTATTTGCCTCTGATCTGTTGGCTATGGTGGCTAGAGTTGATGAGAGTTGTACTTCAACAACATCTAGGAGGTCTCAAATTCCCCACCCCAGATGTATCATCCCAACCTGGTATACAAACATCTTCCTCTTCTTGCCTTGCCAAAGACTTCAGTTTGGTTTATTCTGTTTTTTCCCCCCATCTTCTCTCTCTGTCTGATTGCCAGCACTGGAAAATAGATGCAAGAGCACTGACAAGAAGGCGGATTCTGTGTTAAAAGAAAAAAAAAGGCTGGAAGCAGATCTGGAAACAATGTCAAGAAAAACCCACGATGCTTCTGGTCAGCTGGTTCTGATCAGCCAGGAGCTATTAAAAAAAGAAAGGTCAGTCTTCGCTCCACCCAGAGAAAGTATGACACATTTAGAGCATTAGGGACCTCAGTTATGATTTCACAGTTCTATAATAGAATCTAGAA